TATAATCCTATGAACTGGACACTGGTTCCCAATGGATTGCGATTTTCACACACCGCCCCGCTGCCTTGCGAGTCAGGCTTTGGCTAGACAAAGGCTCCGGTTGTGGATTCCTCAAGAAAATTCACCTCCTTTGGCCTGGTCAACCTGGCAGTATTCCGCCCACATGCAGATCATGGAACTTTTTCCTTTTTATCATGAAGATTATTGTAGCATAATTTGTTTGGCACACAGTCTGGATTCAGACGTGTGAAAAAAAACGCATACAGAAAGCTCGGTTAGTATTCGCCAATTTAAGACATTTGGGACGTGTCACAATGTCCGACTGTCTGTGAAGTGTCCAGTACACGTCGTAGCAGTCAGGCCAGTGTTGCTATACGGTGCAGAGACTTGGCCATTACGGGGAGAGGATCAAAATAGATTGTCAGTGTTCGGACACCGCTGTCTACGTCGCATTGCATGAGTATGGTGGGGAAACCGACATGAAATGCTGAGGTTATGAGCAGAGTTTTATGCAATCGCGGTTGTCCACTGGAACAGGTGGTCACCCTCCATAGACATGGGACATGTGTTGTGCATGTCACCAAATAGGTTGCCTTGGTGAGCGATGTTTGCCGAGGCAGTTAGCGGTTGGAAAAAGATAAATGGCGGTCAAACTAAGACTTGGCATGACAATATGAAAACCCTGACCAGGAGACTGGACCACATAGGTCTCGTTAGGCTCCCTGGCTGGGAACCCCGAGATCAAGGTCACCGGTGGTTACAGACAACGAGCGATACGGTTGGGTGTCGCAAACAGTGGGGCTTGCGCATGTACTAAATATTATTGCAACCCCAGTCTATATGAATCTCCTTATCTTCTTTCTGACTCTGCTCTCAACATTCTAGTCTTCATTCTGCTGTTTAATCCAAATGGGCAACCGAAAGACAGCAAGCAAAACCGGCGCATGCAAATACATGGTTAATTGTTGTAAAATCTGAAATTAGTGCTTTTTCAAATGTTTCAGGAGGGTGGGGGGAGCAAGCGCATCGGGATCCAAAATGGCCAATCATCCCAAATGCTTCTGAAAATGTCCCCAAACGGCCAAGTATCTCAACTACCTTCTGTTGAAGAATTCCTACGCAATATCTTCACTTGGTGGTAATGCAAACACTAAAGTGGGAGGTCAAAGTTAATGTCAGGTGCTTTCCATCGGGTTGACTGATTGTTAGTAGTCACTCTACTGGAGGTGGCTAAAACCCCACATCCTAATTACCCACAGTTGGCGTAAGAAGCTCTTAGTATCAACAATTTTTAACAACCTCTAGCTGGACTACAAAGTCTATCTTTGGAGTCGACCACTATGACGCTCACCGATAAGTGCTCGGATCAGTTGGCCACATTCACAAGATTCATGATCTAGACTATCACTGACTGGTTTCCAAACGATCGCAAACTCTGTACTCCAACCTAGTACCTCGTGGATGAGGTTATTTCAGCAAAGCCTTCGGGTACAGATCACTAAGAAAGCTCTTTACTTCTGTCTGGATAATCGGGTAGTAGCGCACATAATGAAATCATAGACTTGCACTTCGAAACATGTCTTCGAGTTTCGTACTTTGCTGCTCTTGAAAATTGCAAGCAGCACTGCGATCCCACCCCGACAGAGAACTCTTTTTACTTCCCGCCCCGTTTTAAATGGTTCCACCGACGTAGTTTTGTGGCGTGGCTCACCGTTATCACCCCACCACCCACCGGAGAACCATCTCATTAGTACCATGTTGCTTAGAGCCTACTGTCCCATTTCTCCAACCTGTTTTTGCGTTCGAACTGGATTCGTGGAAACTGTTACGCTGTAATAGGACAACGGGATGGTTTGGCTGTTAGACTCGAAAGTCAAGAAATTGGTGTGTGATACCTCTCGGAAACACATTCTGGGTACAGCAATCTGATGAAAATCTCCCTCGAATACAAAAGAAGCTTTTCATCCGTATCTTTTCCGAGATCATGACGCAGGCAAAGGTTGAGTGACGCTGGGAATGCCACTGTATCATGTTTGCAAGATATTGCATGGGTTTGTTCATAAAACCGACTCACCCTCGCATAGAAGCAAGGGGCTTACAAGCAGAAGTGGGTAAATACATTGTTGCTAGCGGAATCATATACAAGACAAATAATAAGAGACAATTATTCCTGAGCGTTTCCACCTTCTTCAAACAACTATGGTCATATGTGGTAGTCTTTTGATCAGCCATTTCTGCTTTCATGTAATTCATTCGTACAATCAGATATTCACTGAAGAAATTAAAACACACAAAGTACAGTTTCCAAGTCTGTTTGAGGTTTAGCTTATCCTAGTTCAAATGAAATTCGCGCATAAAAAAGACCCGTGTGCGGCGCGTTTCATTCTTCAAACAAGCTCGATCACTTCCTTTTTGTAACAAGACTTTAATGGAAAAGAGTGAAAGGAAGAAACCTCACTACAATGAACAATTAATGAGCAAACACACTGTGCTGTCTTAGTGGATTTCTTTACACCGTATGCTCCACCGGAAAAACAATGGATTTGGTGTAACGATAATCGGAAAAGGATATTCAGTGGAGAAAAGATCATGACCGTAACTGTGACATCAGATAGTGAAGGAAGTTGTTTCAACCGAAACGATTATTGATCAACTAGCCATTCACATTTATACAGATAGATCAATCAATAGTGTTTGACTCTCGATGGTTGCTACACAGAGAAACGACGGCAGCGAAAAGCGCGATATGCCAACACCTAGTCGAAAATAATCACTAAACGGACTTAAGTCGAGCGTTCAGAACCGCTTATCGTATTCCACGGTTATCATCTAAATCAGTAGGCTTTGTTTTTCTGTGCACGGCTGAAGCAATCGTGACCAAACTGCTTGACTCGCACTATGCAGTCCGAAGAGTCATCTAGGCATTATCTCTACCATGGCCAGTGGCTCAGCGACAAACCGATACGAGCGTGGTGACTGGAGGAACACTGTAACCAAGGGGATGCTCAATCAAATTACTGATGCACGTCGGATCGCTTTGTACATAGAGTGACAAGATTCACTTCGCACCGAATCAAGCAATGTTGAATGCTCTACGTATACAAATGTAAACGGCCAGTTGATGAATTTATTGACGGCTTCGCCTATTGGATTTTATTTTCAATGCCACAGGAAACAATTATTACCCGAACAAATATTATATTCATTGAGATATGGATGAAAAAGAAAAAAGGGTTAAAGACAATATTTATAGCGCTTTCTTATCTGCTTGTAAAAAGAACAAGGAGGGTGGAAGTTTCGATTCCTCATACCCATAAGGAACTTTCAGTCGGTATAAACCGGATGCTAAATCAATGGCTTCCCGTCGGCGTTTTTGTACTAGCGCTTCTAGTGCACCGATTTGATCTGCCACATTCATAAGGACAGCACGTTTAGCGGATAGTTCATTCTCTATTACAAAGTAAGAAAAACAAGTCTTCTTACCCGCCGCGTCTTCCAACTGCCGCAAAGCTTCTGGAGTCATATGGGAGTAGCGGCACATTATGCCATAGTCACATACACCTAGTAACAAACAAATCATTGGTGAAAGGTATCACGAACCTTTGCGTTGAAAAGATAGGCAAGGCTTCTTAGAGCGCTCTTGCGCAAGCTTTTCACGAGGACCTAACTTGCATTATCGACCGTGTAACAACGCTACCAAGGAAATTTTCGAAGTGTAATTTACGGGCCTGTTGATGCTGTACTCCATTCAAGTGAGCCCTTCGGTTGACAAGGTTGTCTGGGAATGATTTGTCACAGTAATCGCAATGGAATCGTTTGCCCATTTCTGTGCAAATATATTACTGCGATGTTTTTCGACACAAATGCTGGTATATAACAGCCATAACTGTTATTCAAGGATCAACAAAACCTGTGGAGATGCAACGAAAGATCTGTTACACGAGCTCGGCATTGTAAAAAGCTGAAAACATGAAGATGAGCACAGATAACCAATGAGCTAAGGGGTTACTTAGCGTGGAGATAGAGCCAAGGACAAGGAGTATATTGGTGATATTGCCTAGTTCTTTGACAATACACAAACGGTGAAAGACATGTCAAACTGTTTTGCTATTGGGGTTGCTTTGTATGGCATGTGCTTTACTATTTTAAAGTGCAACTTACTTGGTGAAAATGATGAGGCGCTTATGCCTTTAGTGGCATAATAATTGGTCGAAAGCTTTCTTGACCTAGTGATTCGCATAACGGATGGTGGATGTGTACGCGAGATTTCACAACGCTTAATTAAAGCAAGATTGGCCTCGACTGGATTTGACCGTAATCTACTATATGCGGTAGCAGTAAATGGTTCATCAACCATCAACAGCAACATGATAAAAAATCTACTCGAAGGGCTGCAGTTGGCTTGAACTGAAGTAATCCTACAATGATCTATGTTTTGGTACGTTCATTTAACGGATGCCTGTGTTGCTATTTTTATTATACACGAAGTGACTCACAGCAAAAGGGGTAAACCCAATAATCAACGATATACTGTAAGGTGGAGGCATGTGGGGGATCATTTAAGTAAGAATCAATTTATTAATCCTGCTTTTGAAAAGAGTAAGATTATAAGAGCTGGGAAACACGGAAATTGGAAGTGTTCCACAATTTCGCAGTCCTCGGGAGAAAAGAAGATTGAAAGATAGAAGTCCAAATTCTGGGGACAGAAACCGGATGAAGGTGACTGCCCGCTTGAGAAGTTCGGCAGGGCATAAACCAAAACAGTAACGATAGAAAAGAGATAACGAAGTAACTGCCTGGCGATCGGAAAGCGACTGCAGATTGGAAGTTAAGGACCGTTGGTCGATTAGCCGGATGGCCTTACGTTGAACACGGTCGAGGAGAGAGAGCGGAATACGAAGCTCCACCCCATACGTGACTGCAGTATGTGAGCATAGGGCAGATTTGAGCTTTGTATAACGAGGTGCTTGGGTGTAAAGAAACGCTTTGCGCGAATGGTTGAAGGCCAAAGGGGGAGAATATATGAGGAAAGGCTAGAGGCTCTAGGGCTTTTCTCATTAGAAAGGAGACTGCGAGGGGACCTGATAGAAACCTTCAAAATCATGAAGGGAATATCGGGTATAGGAGCGGACACTCTTCACATTAGCTCCACAACACGGCACTAGGGGGGCATGAGTTCAAGCTCATGAAGCAAAGATGTCGACTAAACATGCGGAAGCACTTTT